TGTCAACGACAGCTATCTAGAAAGTAGCTAAGGGTTACCAGAGATGCTTCTGGGGTGTTCGCTAGGTACTTTTAGGATTTAAAAAGTCAAGAAGGGGGTCTGAGAAGCTGTTGGAAATAGAGACAAAATCGCTAAATTGGCAACACTGTGGGAGGAGCGCTTGATATGGAACTAGGGGCAGCGCAAGAGGGAGGAGCAAATAATCGGCTCCTTTTGTTTCTATAATCGTTCAAAGCCCCGATCCAAAACACTGGCAGTATTAACCTCTGAGTAAAAGCTAGGGCTTCTCTTTGGTGTTGCAAACCTTACAGCTGCGTATTTAGTGTGAATTAAAAGCAAAACATGAAATAAAACTTAGAAGAGTGAAAGAAAAAAACGAGCCGTAAGAACCGCCGGTAACTGGCAGCATGATGCTAATGCTAGGCTAGCTTGTTGTCAGCTTTAGAGACAGTCTTAAACTCTCAGCTGCTTTTAGCTTCACGTGTTAGCTCCAGTTTTATAAATCACATTATTTTCTTGTGTGGAAGTGAATTTCACTCTCTGTGTTAGAGAGGAGAGTCCTGCGGCGTCTGCACCCCCACCCCCGGTCATGTTTTGTGATCAGAACTTTTCCTCCAGGTGGCGGTAGCTGAAGAACGTCACACGCTTCTCCAGTTCTTACGTGGATGACACGGTGAACAGAAACACAGGAAAAGATCTGTGTATAAATGCAGCTCTTGTTTTGCTGTTTAGCGTGTCATCTGTGGTCTGAAACAGCAGACGTGTTCTGACTAAAGACTAGTTTTAATCAGTGCGTAAAATCTTTTTTCCCGTGTCCTGTCTGGCTGTGAAGCAAACAGAATTAATGTCTGAATGCTGGTGACAAGCCTTACCCCCAAATTCCACTACCTCCGCTCCACCCCCGCCTTCCGCAGCCGCTCGCTTCCGAACTCAATTTTTACTGGTGCGCGCTCTACAACGGCTCCGCTCCGGTGCGGAGACCTGAGGTGGGCAAACAAGCATGCGCGGGATTTTCAAGATCTTGCGATACAGTCCGAGCAATAAACGCGGAAGTTAGATCCAAACACCCGTTGTGTGGGAGAAGCATCGAAATGAGCTGTTTAATCTGCCCATCATTTGTGTTGAGAGATCAGCAGTGTTTGGATCAACAAAGTGTGACTACTTTGATAGTAGAAACTGTATTTATGGCTTATTTTTGTGCATTTAAAGTTCAGCTGCCATTGATAGTTGTTAAAAGTTGTTAAACCTGTGCATATGAAACAAAAAACGCTTTTTGTTTATCAATTTATTGTGAAAAACGGAAGTTGTGCTTGCTCCTTTTCCTGTTGGGCGGTTGTGATTTCTGTCCATTGACTGCGGAGGTGCTCCGGCGTCCGGCGAAAATAGGATCGATTCTATTTTTGCCGGACGGTGGAACAGAGGGCGACGCACTGCGCCGCACTGCCGGAGCACGGCCGCAGTAGTGGAATTGCTCTGATTGACTACAACGGGACCGATTTTGCTCCGGAGTTCGTGCCGGAGCGGAGCGGAGGTAGTGGAATTTGGGGGTAACAGATTTACTCTCAGGTGGAGCATCAAAGCGTCTGCTTTTAATGTCACGCCTGATACTTAAAACTTTATTGTTGTTGTTTTTGAATGCTTTGTAATTCCGACCAGACACAGAGAAAGAGGTGAAAGAGAAAGGAAGAGACAAAAGGATGGTGAGGGGGTTCCACAAAAATAAACAATCAATGATGAACAAGAGTCTGCTTCTAGACCTGCGGAAAAGGGACACACAGCAATACATCAGGAGCAAGCTATCACTGCATTAACCTGATGAGGAAATATAAAAACATTGTTCTACTGAACAATCACAGTGCATTAAGTGCCAACCACAGCCGACATGTGTTGAACGTGCCCAAGCCCATACTTATGAGAGCACCATGTGAGCACCTGTGTGTGTACACGCGCTTGTTTATGTAAGGTTTCTCTATAGGAGCGTCCATTAGAGAGTGAGGGACCACAGATCCGCCCCCCAAAGATGTGTAGGAGACGGGGGGAGCTCCAAGTCCCAGAGATCCAGGAGCTGCCCCAGAACACAGGAACCCCAAGGAGACTGTAACCTGAAAAGCCCCTGCCCCCCTCGAGAGGCACAGAGGATCGCCTCGGGGGGCCACAACCAGCAGCCGGCAGAGTCCCGGGAGATATCAGCGGCAAGCCCAGAGGCCCGCCCGCAGCCTCCCACCCCCAAGCTGGCCGAGCCCGGAACCCAGCAACTCGGGACCCAGGGGCGACCACCCCCCGCCGGGGACCCAACAGAGCCCAGGAACTCAGATCCCACCAGGCAGTCACCGGGATTAATCAGGCAGACGCTAAAAATCTTAAACCCCCTGACCCGGGAGATGCAAACACTCAGGCAGACCAAGGCACCACACTCCACACACCAAGTGTGACGGGGGAGAGGAGGCGAAGATGTATAGCAGCAAAAGCAATCCCAGGAGAGGGGACGAGTCAAAGGCCCCGCCTGACATATACAGTCATACACAAACAGTCACACACTCCCTCCCTCATGCTCACACATACACATACAACCAAAGACATACAAAAATGCACACCAGTCACCCACTCATGCTCCCCATACACACCCTATTCACTCTGGTCCCGGTACTGCTGCACATGGGGTACAACCATTACCGGTTCCCAGAGTTTGCCCCTCTCTGCTGGGGTGCTGATGAGCAGGCTCCCCCGCCCAGCGCCGAGCAGTGACCCACCACCCAGACCCCAGCCGGACGGCCGGATCTCCCTCCTAGCCTCCAGCCCTGGGAAGCCAAGCGACAACAGAGGTGTGCTAAGACCCCTAGTCTCCCTCTGCCTGCTCCAATAGTGTTGGTGCGTGTTGATGAGGTGTATTCCATGGTTGTGGTGAGCGGGCAGTGCGGGCATCGTCTGGCCTATGCCAGCTGATGCCACCATCCCACCCCTCTTCCCCCCAGAGCCCTCTGTGTCTAAGTGCAGTTTAAAATTGGAAGTGGGCACCGGCACTTGAGATGAGGCTGAAAGATCCCCCTGCCAAATGCTGTTGAATGTGCTCACTCCCAAGGCCCTAAGTGTGTGTTTGCGTGGAATGTCATTGGTGGAAGTGTTTAATGTGCAAATAAAATTGGGGGGCAGGTTGCCACAGGAATGTGGAAATAGGGTCCATACCCGCACCCCCTGATTTGTCCACCCCCCAAGGTCCTATGTGCATGTTTGTGTGATGATGTGAGGGAGCAGGAGGAGAAAAATATGCGGGGATGGGGAGGAATGGCTGGTTGGCCTAAACCCTCCAGGGAGCCAGCTCCCCTACTGGCCCCGATAGGCACCTCTGTTGCCAAAATGCCACCCAGGGCATGGAGACCCCAGCCCATCTTGCCAGGGCCCAAAGCAGCAGCATTGCAGAGCCTCACAGAGTCTGATGGCACCAAACCAGCCCCACCCCAGCAGAATATCTAGCCCCATCCCTGCATTTGCACAACTTCCAGAATATATAAGACATAGGACATCCAGGTAAGGTTGGGTCCTCCCCCTCCTGGACATCCCCCTCCCCCGTGATGGGACAGCAGAGGAGCCAAGGTCTACCTGAGCCCGAGCCAGGCACTGCCGCATGTTCCCACCTTCTTCCTGGCAGCATACATGTCAGGACCCGACACCCAAGGCCCCGCCCAGATCCCCACATGGGGCCGGCCACCCCCACACCCCGAGCCCCCAGGCCCCCAGCCAGACCAGTATGTAAAGTCTAACATCAGCAGTCAGTAGCACTAGTGAATAGTGAGGGTTATTAATAGATGAGTGTGTCTCTAATATTTCTCATATAGACTGTAATGTGCCGAGTTCTCCTCTGCTCTTTCTGCTAGACTCATCTGAAGATGGATGCTCTACACAAACACCAACAGCTGTTTCTCCTGTTTAGCTTCTGTCTGACGGCTCAACTAGAGTCACATCCAGCATGGCAGCAAGTCATGGAGCCAAACCACGGACAGGAGGTGTGATATCGGCAGGAGGCTGGTGAGCTGGGAGCTGAAGAAGGTAAAAACACAACCTGAAGGTTCCCCATCTCCAGGCTAACACACAAGCTGCTGCTGAATCAAGAGCACTGAGGTTAGGTAATACTGAAGGTGTTTCACATGAAGATGTTATGAAATAGTCCGTTAAAGACTGGATGAACTTAAGATGTTGCTATTATGTATTTTTATACATGATAACATCAGTTATTTTCTGTAGCACGTGTCTTTCTATTGTAAAGGTGCATTTATTTATACTTACATGTAAATGTGTACACCCCTATAAACCCTCTGCTTAATAAATGCTCTGAAGCCTGTTTTGTATGTTTAATACTTGGTCGGTTTATTGTTTTTTTTATTAATCTTGTTAAGTGTGTGATTTTAACACTGAGCAGTGACTAAATGAAGATTCAACAGTTGGTTAAATTCAGTGTTAAAAACAGATTAGGTTCAGAAATCTTGTGCATCCACAGTTATTAGTGATAATTAACAATCTGATAAAGCGCCAAACATCGAGATATCGGCAGTACTTATCGGCCTTTGGCTGACCACGACCGCCTCATATCGGTATCGGCAATAGAAAAACCAACATCGGTGGACCGCTAGTTCCGGCTGAAAACTGAAAATACACTTTTGGGTCATTTTTGGCAGAAAATCTTTGGTGGCCGAATTTTCAGTGCATCGCTATTAAATATAAACCGTGACTAAATAAACAATAGCTGTTGCATCATCAGTAATGCTGACCTCCTTTGGAAGGGTTTATGTGCATTTATATATTATAGGTATATATTATAGGTATTAATCTATGACATATTGGTTATGACACAATAAACGTAGAAAATATATATTGATTTGTTGGTCAAATAAGGTGAAATAAGCTTTGAATTAAAGTTTAATCCAACGGTTAAGTTAATGGTTAAAAATCTCCTGAGCCAGTTACCATGGTACATTGAGCATTAATCCAAAAAAAAACCAACTTACGAGTCATAGGTCATCTTGGCATTGATAACAGGTGAATCGGGCACCTCCACCACCAGAATCCAGGCCTGGTCTGAAGTGATTGTTGAGCTTCTCAGCCAACTGACTGATGGAGCAGCTGCCTGGCCAAATGCAAGACTGGCTGACTGCACAGCCCGACTGTGCACCCAGATTTAGGTAGACAGTGACGGTACAGAGGCTCCTGACCAACCACGAGCCTCCAGTCCCCCGCTACAGCCCGGAGCCGGAGCTAAAAATGTAACAGCTGGTTTGGCTCACGTAGAGGCGAACGGTCTCCCAAAAAAGACCCGGGAATCTGAAGACCCTGAGCGTTGGGGGATTTTAGAGTCAAACAAAAACACCGATTCTGATTCTGCAGGTCTGGGGACATCCGCTGTCGCAGACTGACATTTAGCTGTGAGCTACTCCAACTGATGATTTTAAAAAGTTTCCCAGACAAATACTAGTTGTGGAACTTAAAACACAGCGGACACACCGATCTTTAGTTCTGAAGCCCTCAACCAGTCAGCCGCCACTGTTAACGGTTTCAAGTCTTGTGAGCTGGCTCTTGGGAAGCGCTTCGCTGGCAGAAGATGACTGAACGTAGCAGAAACACCTTCGTTTTAGTCACATTTATGGATATAATGGGAGAGGCCCATGGTCCAGTTAAAAAGGCAGGGTCCAGCTCCCGCCTGCCCAGAACAGAACCGAAATGGGGAACGGGACTACCAGAGGGAAGATGAGCCAGCCCAGGCCCTCAACAAACATGAGATCAGTGATGGTGGGGCAGCACCGGTAGTCACTGTGGAGGCCGTGAAAGACAGGCTGACTGAGCTGTTGCCATGGCAACAGCAACACTGTGGAGCACACCTGACTGAGGCTCTCTGAGTTTAGAAGGAACTACAGTAAGCTGACAGAACCGTGTTTATAAAGGATGCCTAGCTTAACTTGGAGTTCGACACGTTTCTCTGAAAAACCAAAATTCATTCACAAAAACTGGAATCTTAAAAGCAGTGGCCCCCCTCTTTGTGGCCCCTGAACCCGCCCCCCATTCCATAGCAGGGTTTCCCCCAGCGCTTTATAAGCTTGCCCACCTGCCAGGCTAAGCGTCATGCCCCGCCCCCCCTCCCCGACCCTGCCGTGTCCGCTGACATGAACGGCACAACAAAACTAGAGCCCTCCATCAGCTGATTCTGGTGAGAAACAGCAGCGGGACGTGTGCACCCCCCCACCCCCACCCCCCCAGCTGGCACAGAGGAGCGCCGCGGGACGGAGCGCCCGTGAAGACACGTGCAGAAGACCGGCAGGACAGAGTCTCATCCAAAGCAGAACCGGAAATTCTCCACAGTTCACTGTCCCTTGTTTGTTGTAGAGCAGCTGAGTACACCCCGTGGAGTTGTTTTATTAGAAAGAACCAGAAAATTATGGGAATGTGGCATCGGAGACTTTATATCACTCCTGCATGTAAAAAAGTGGATATTTTTACTATAACATGGATTATTACTACCTTAAACCGGTAGAGGTAAGACTGAGTGAATGCTTTCAACTTCATGACATTAGCTTTGTTTGTGTTTTATGCTGAATTTGCATTGGCAAGCACACTGTTGTTACCATTTTGCCGTTACCGGTCTGTCGTGATGCATAACAATCTTGACTTGGCATTCCCAAGTGGGGAAATGAGAATAGCACATTTAAAATCAGCCCAGTCATCACAATGCAAATTTCAGAATTATTAGAATAATGAGCAATGAGGCTATTTTTACTGAATTCATACTGTGAATACTTTTCTAATCCGTGTTTCTCCTGAAAACATTCCAACACTGGGATCTCCTGCTCCGTGTACAGGGCAGTACGTTAACAGTTTTAGCTTATAGCACTGGTGCCACGAAGGTCGTAGGTTTTGTAGCACAGAACAAAAGGTTGTAGCGCCAGCATAGAAAACTTGCTACAATCTCCAAAAACCAAAAGTAGTTCTTACAATGACTTAAACACCAGTGCATACAATTAAAAACCAGTAACAACCACCAAAGCAGATTCCTGGTAGCGTGAGTCTCACTCACGTACTTTACAATTAAGCTGATTCTGAAAAATCTTCAGACATTCTTGTCAGAGCAATTATGAAAAGAGCATTTAATTCGTGTAGATTTGTTCATTACAGAGGTCCGTCCTCAACGATGGTGCATACCAAAGGACAACGATTTGGTTATTCGTCCACTGTAAGGTCAGAGGTCATCTCGTGGAAGTGTCCACGCTGTTCCCCCTGCACTAGTCTCCAAACACACTGCTCTTCGACCTTCTTGCCAAGAAGGGAATTAACCCGTCTCCTGAATTTCTTTATCTTAGCTGAACAGGGATGGGTACCGAATTCGGTACTTTTTAAGGTACCGACCGAATTCCACAGTACCGACTGAGCACCGATTCACGTCGTTTCAAACGGTGCCTTGTTTCGGTACCCGTCCTTCATAACGAGAACTTGCCAAGACAGCTGTACATGCGCAAGAGCGTTATGTCGGTCACTGCGAACGAGTTGTAAACAGAGCAGCATGGTAGAAAGAACGCACGCTAACGCTTGGGTCCACTTCACTAAATGTTTATGTTTATGTGCTTAGCAGACGCTTTTACCCAAAGCGACTTACAATTTTATTTATTTTTATTTTTTTAACCTATAGGGCATGTTGTGATCTCTGGGGGAAACCGGAGTACCCGGACAAAACCCACGCATGCATGGGGAGAACACGCAACTCCACGCAGAAAGGCCGCAGCCGAGTTTCGAACCTGCGACCTTCGTGTTGCGAGGCAACAGTGCTAACCACTGCGCCACCATGCACCATAAATGTGATGGGTAACTGGGTGATGATGAAACCAGCGACAACGATCTAAGTGAGACATCCTCATCTTAATCTGCTCCGGTAGGTAAATAAAATGTTTAAGATAACGTTAGCTTGATATGTTAGCTTCCGTTCCGCTAATGGTGCGTTCGCTTTCTCCTCGGAACTCCGAATTTCCGACTAGAAGAACATGAACGCGCTCTAGAGTTTGGCTTCACTTTACTAAATGCGACGGGTGATTGGGTGAAGATGAAACCAGCGACAACAATCTAAGTGTGAGGCATCATCGTTTTAATCTGCTCCAGCAGCTAAATAAACTGTTTAAGATAACGTTAGCTTGATATGTTAGCTTCCATTGCCACCGTTGTTATCAGCTAATGGTGCGTTCGCTTTCACCTCGGAAATTCTAACTTCCCAGTAGGAAAAATCAAATGAAAAAAGACGGCAAAAGGAATGAAGATACGCAGTAAATTTAGTTCACAGTAAAGATGTTTGCTTCAGTTTAATTATCAGCTTATAAAACTACAAGGACGATGTTAAAATACAAACAGTTGTATGTTATTTATCGTGATATTTATCAAATATGGTTATATATTGAGAAAAATATATATCTAATTATAAAAGAGAATTAAAATATTAAACACTCAAAAGTATCAAAAATTGGTACCGTTAAGTACCGGTAACGATTCCTAGGTACCGGGAATTAGTACCGAATCGATTCAAATGTCAAAGGTACCCATCCCTAGTTGTATTAACTAAAAGCAGTAACTAATAGTAACTAGATGTAGTAACTAATAGTAACTAGTTGTAGTAACTAATAGTAACTAGTAGTAGTAACTAATAGTAACTAGTTGTTGTAACTAATAGTAATTAGATGTAGTAACTAATAGTAACTAGTTGTATTAACTAATGGTAACTAGTAGTAGTAACTAGTTGTTGTAACTAATAGTAATTAGATGTAGTAACTAGTAACTAGTTGTAGTAACTAATAGTAACTAGTTGTTGTAACTAATAGTAACTAGTTGTTGTAACTAATAGTAACTAGTTGTTGTAACTAATACTAACTAGTTGTTGTAACTAATAGTAATGTGATGTAGTAACTAATAGTAACTAGTTGTATTAACTAATAGCAGTAACTAATAGTAACTAGATGTAGTAACTAATAGTAACTAGTTGTAGTAACTAATGGTAAGTAGTAGTAGTAACTAATAGTAACTAGTTGTTGTAACTAATAGCAATTAGATGTAGTAACTAGTTGCAGTAACTAATAGTTTGTGGAAACACTTGTGAGCAGGGTGACTGCTCTTACCTCTGGGTAGAAAGTGGTTTACATTTAGAAGAAAATCTGAGGTCACTACAAACCTGCTGATCAACAGATCCAACTGTGCAGCAATAGCTGGAAGTCCTTTACGAGCCACTCCCCACCTCCTCTGCCTCCTCTTGTCTAGCAGGCCAAGATCAAAAGTTTTCACTAGCACTGTAGCAGTAACTGGTGATGACCAGTAGTGAGGAGGACCGCAGAGCAGAAGATCGGCTCTTTATCTGGACCAGACTCAGCTTTCTGGGGGGACAGGACCAGGGACGTGTCCCCCAGAGTCCTTCTTCCCTGACACGTGTTTGCTGTGTGGAACCAGAACTGGGATGAAACCCAATCCCTCAATGCAGCACGAGCTGGGCTCATCCATGGGACAAACTGCTGACATCGAGCCTCCAGACGGAACCGCCACCTGACACCGGTTCCGGTCTCGACGGGGAAACTCATATCATACACCAGCTCCGTTAGATGGAAACCAGCCGCTAGAAATATTAGATGAGATTCAGCAAACTGCAAGTCCCAAGACCGTTACCCGTCCGGTTCGGGCCGGACCCACCGAACCACCACCCCACTGGAGCAACAAGAGGTCCTTACCTCATGGTGAAGGCTCGTGAGGCCGGACTCCACTCGGTACCGAGGGGGAGTTGTGTAGTTTTGCCCAAGTTCTGGGTTCAGGTCTGAGGAGACCAGAAATATGGGCGGTGTTCCAGAACAAAAGCGGGGCTCGGTCCAGTCCTACATGTTCCGGAGCATCGTGGCTCCGCTGGTTTTGACTCAACGACAAAGTGGGACTCGGCACAGTCTGCTTGGTTCCGACGGTTCTGACGCAGGCGGGTCGGCGGCGCCGTGGCTTCAGCCCTTGCTGCGTTCAAGGATCACCTGTGAGCGTCCTCACGTGCAACCAATCCGGGAGCAGAGCCCTGAACACAGCACCGAGCCCGCTGTCCCGCCGCCGGTGTGCTACTGAAAAGTGACGCTTTCCCAAAAAATGTGTCGGGGGCAGCATCGGCGCATGCGCAGTCAGTCAGCTGTTCTTAGGAGTCTAACACACACACACACACACACACACACACACACACACACACACACACACACACACACACACACACACACACACACACACACACAGCTCAAAAAGATAAAAGGAAGAGAAAAATAAGACATCTTAGACCTGAATGAATTAAATATTCTAATTAAATCATTTACATATGCGCTGACAACAGAATCACACAACTGAAATCCAGTTTCTCAACCCATGCAGGTCTGGATTTGGAGTCACACTCAAAATGAAAGTTGGGAAAAGGCTCATCCAGCCATAGACGTAATTTTGGGGGGGACAGGGGGGACATGTCCCCCCCCCTCCCACTTTTTCCAAAGTCAAGCTTTGACCCCTGCACTTTTTACCATCCAAAAACAATATTACGCTATATTAAATTGAGACTAGTTGAGCCCTAGGACCAAGCAGAAAACAACTCTTTGTGTTGAAGCCTGTTTCCCATTAGAGCATACTGTAAAGATCCCCCCCCCCCTCCCACTCCCCACTCTGTGTCCCCCCACTTCTAAAGTGAAAATGACGTCCATGCATCCAGCTTTGATGTTAGTCAGGCTCAGGAGCGTGTGTGTCCTCCACATGCTTGAATGAGCTCCCAACAACACCTAGCATGCTCCTGATGAGGTGGCGCTTTATCTGCAGCATCAGTCAGCTTCTGGTGGACTGAGCCCTTAAAGCGCGCGACCGCAGACTCCACAGTGCAATCAGAGACTTTGAATGGAGAGATACGATAGACAAAATAAATGAGCTACAAAATAAAGACGATGACACTGAGG